AAAACCTATAAATTGAGATGATCACGGGTATCATAAAATATCTTGTATCAGAATGGTGGACTCACTTAGCGTATAAGTATTAATAAAAGGTATAAAGGACTAACCGTAATGCAACCGACTTGGGTGACACCGAATATCAACTAAAGGATCTAGAGACAGTTCATGTCTATATATAATGGAAAGTGAGACTACTGGTGGTGAAGTTGTGGTATGATAAGCTCATTAAATCAGGCACAATGATATTACAAGTTCACGGGAGGTAGACAAGTGTGTGGCAAAATAAGGCTATCAATTATGCACTATGAGCAAAATAGAATGGGAATGAAAATTCCAGTTAGAAAGAAAAGATGGTACCAGCATATATTGTTCGGGTCAGTGGCGCTCTCTGAATTGAATGCGTATGAAGGGTGTTGATATGCGTTTTGGGTGGTGTGGAACAGTAAAGAGAGCTCATGAGAATGTTCACAAGGGAAAGTGGAGTGGTTTTTTAAATTCTATAAGTCATGTAAGGAGGAAAAAGGCTGTCTAGGAAAGGTCTGAGCACAGTGTTACATTACATTTGATGCAATGTCGTGCATGTCGACGATGTGAAGGTGTGTGCGCAGGCTAGAAGATGTTATTCCTTTGAAATAGAAGGTTCTATAAGAAAACTCATCCAGTAATGTCTTTTGTTGAGAATTTGGAAGAGCAAGTTGCATATATTCACAAAAGATTGTAACCATATCAAGGAAATTATTGAAGAACTCAAATCCTATGAGGTCATATGTAAGAGAAATGGGACATAGATGGTCCACTATTGATGCAACATGGCCAGGTGATTACTTATGCTTCAAGGCAACCCCAGAATCATGAGAAGAACCATGCAACACCTGACTTAGAACTTATGGCGGTAGTTTTTGTGTAAAGATTTGGCGACATTATGTGTATGGGGTCCACGTTGATGTATTTACGGACCACAAGCGCCTCAATATATTTTCAAGCAAAAGGAGTTAAATCTGAGACAGAGAGGATGACTCGGGTTAGTCAAGGACTATGACATTGAGATTCCCTATCACCCGAGAAAGGCCAATGTCATGGCGGATGCTCTTAGCCAAAAAATCTATGGGTAGTTTTAGCTTACTGGGTGATATGTCAAAGGTAGTTGGCCATGGAGGTTCACTAGTGGCTAGTTCGAAAGTTTGTCTTGTAAAGTCTAATGAAGGTAGGGAAAATGTGCAAAATAGGGCTGAATCGTCGCTTGTGGTGGAGCAGTATGCTTAACTGTATATCAAAGAAATAGACAGTTTGCATGACACTCTAGCCTAAATCATTTCCGACAAACTTTTGGAAGAAATTTCAGCAAGGTTTGGGTACTCAAGTAAATCTTAGTATAGCCTTTTATCCACAAACTAATGGGAAGGCAGAGCGAACTATTCATATGCTCGAAGATATGTTGCGAGCTTGTGTTCTAGGTTTCAAAGGTAGTCGGGATGACCATTTGCCGCTTGTCGAGTTTGCTTACAATAACAACTTTCACGCTAGTGTTCAGATAGCCCCATTTGAGGCATTGTATGGAAGGAGGTGTAGATCTCTGATTGGATGGTTTGAGGTTGGTGAAGAAGAACTATTAGGGCTAGATCTTGTGCATCAGGCTATGGAAAAAGTTAAAGCCATTCAGGAGAGGATGAAAACTGTTCAGAGTCGTCTGAAATCCTATGCAGACGTGCGTCAAAGAGAATTGGAATTCCAAGTAGATGATTGAGTGTTCTT